TAAATAAAAATCTTCAGGTTTACAATGCCTATGTATTATATAAGGGTGGGTCTGTGCGTGCGTGCGTGTGTGTGTGTAAGCATGGTGGCACGTGTCTATAATCCTTACATGAGTTAGAAGCACAAAGATCAGCTCAGTGCCAGCCAGCTTGAGCTTCCCAGTGAGACTCTGTGTCTAAATAAAGTATAAATCGCCCATGCTTTTCGAGTCTAGTGTAAAAACAAACTCCTAACTCCCCTCTGCACACTTCCCCCTTCCTAGCTCTCAAGCACAGGACCAGAGTCTGTGTCACCTGTGGGAGCAAGAGAGGCAGCCTCCGTTTCCTGCTCCTGACCCCAGTGCCCGCTCTTCGTCTGCCTCCATCTGCACACGGGTTGCCATGCCGTCCTGCCTGGTTCTGTACGGTTGGCAGACCTTCCCCTCAGGTGACCACGTGGCCCACGGTTACCTCCGACCTCTGCACAGACACCTCCTCAGCACTCTGTCTGTCTGTCTGTCTCCCTCCCTCCGTCCCTCCTTCCTTTCTTTGAGACATGGGACTATATTAGACCCATCTAGCTTGGAACTCGCTTTGCAAACCAGGAACTCAAAAAGATCCACCTGCCTCAGCCTGCCAAGTGCTGTGATTAAAGCGTGCACCACCACACCCAGCTACTTAATTTTTTTTTTTTAGTTATTTTTTTATGTGTGAGTGTTTTATACCTGGTGACGGTGGAAGTCAGAGGAGGGGTTGGATCCACTGGAACTGGACTTACTTGTGAGCTGCCAGGAACCCTTTCGTTAGTTCACTGTGCATTGTCCCTTCTTGTTCTTTTGGGTCTGGGGCTGATTCTCAGATCTCCTGTGTGTCCACCATCCAAACATGCTCGGCTCTCTTGCCTTCTTCCCAGGCCGTTTCCTCGGGCTTGTGTTTCACCAGCATGCCTGCCGTTATAGGTTCCACGCTGTGGAATTTGCAGGCTTCTTCAAAGCGAGGCGTCTCTGGAGTAGCCGGGGTTAATCCACAGATGCTGATGGCTTCTGGGCAGGCCCAGTGCGAGCTGGTAGAGCCTGCAAGACTTAACCTTCTCACCAGCCCTGCTTGTCAGCTGTCACGTGTCACAGCTTTAATCAACTCTGGGGCAGGAATCCTTACATCCTAACAGATGGATGTGAATTTAACCAGACAATAAACCATGGACGTGCCGTAAATACGTTTGCCAAGGGCATGGTTCCCAGCGCGGCTTTCTGCACAGCTGTCTTCCCTTCAACTCCCGATATCTCGGGGAGATGATTTGTTAGCCTAACTCTGAAACAGCGTTGCAGAGAGTAAATGCGTCGTTGGCTTCTCCATTCCCAGCAGCTTAACTATTGGGGGGTGGGGGGGGACAGTTTTTTATTAACAAAAGCTACTGATGTGAAATTTTAAGACATGAGCTTGATGTCTACCCGAATTGGGTGTCATTTGTCTCAAAGGGGCTGCTAACCTTTCAGGCATGGCCAGAAGCTTGCTTGCACACCCCTGGGGTACCGACCAGGAACTGTGTTTTCCCTTTGAGTACTTAAATTGCTAACCAAGCTACTGCTGCAGTGTTTTTAGAGATGCAGATTAACAGGTCTAGAGAGGTGAGTTGGAGGTTAAGAGCTGAGGACCTGAGTTCAGTTTCCAGCATCCAGAGGTCTGACTCACTCTGCTGGCTCTGAGGATTTGTGCTTGACACACACACACACACACACACACACACACACACACACCTAAAAAAGAATCCAGTTCATCTGTCTTTGTTCTTTCCGTCATTATTTTCAGACACGTTTTTTAAATTCTTCTACCAAATACTGCTCTCCCCTCAGAACCTATGCAAATTAAACTGTGGAATATTTGTCCGCTTTGCATTCTGCAGAGGGTAGCTTCTACTGATGTACACTTTCATTGGCCCAAACCACCAGACAAAGTATAAATTGCCGTAGGACTGGGAAAGCGTTTGAGTGAAGCAGATGTTGTCTTAGCATGAAGCAGATGTAAAACTTGCGAGTGTCTGTCTAATAAAGGGATAGCATTTGGTTCTAGACAGCTGGTGCCAAGATTACCAATTAATCATGTCTGAATGCGTTTTTTACTAATTAGATCCCCCTTTGGTTTTTACTGCTCTGGGTGTAGTAAAGAGGAGTGAAGGCGTAAGAAAGCTTTCTACTTTTTACACTTTGAATAACCCCATCTTTCTAAGACTTTTTTTTTTAATTCTTAGAATCCTATAGGAAGTGAAGCCAAAGATGTGAATGACTGAGCTGGCTCCCCCACTGGGAGTCAGAGTTCCCTGTGAAGGCAGTTAGTCCCCTGTGAACACTGGGAGGCAGCTGGCAGAAAAGAGGAGTGTAATTACACTTAATGTGGGTTTATTTTCGTTTCATTCTCTTGCACGGACAAAAGCTAGTATTTGCTCAGTTAACACCAAAAGGCAGTCTCCATGGTTATCCTTCTGAGTGGGAGTTTGAACAGCACAGGAACACAGAGTACCAGTTTGGTTTTACATGATCAAGAGCAACAGAGCCTGCGTTCACAAAGATGGGGATGGCCGGGTTGGGGTAATTACTGAGAAGTCAGCACCACTGTGGAAGCTGAGGAGGCGGGGGCGCTGGCCCCCAGAGTCCACTCCACAAAGCAGGGGTGCTGAGGCTGAGGGATGTGTGGGGCTTTTGCACTACAGGGATGGAACCCATGTGTAGGCCAGGCTAGTGTGAACTTCTGGGCCGTGTCTGTAGCGCCCTTTGTTATTTGTTTTTTGAGACAGGGTTTCTTTGTGTAGCCCTGGATGTCCTGGAACTCGCTCTGTAGACCAGGCTGGCCTGGAACTCAGATCTGCCACTTCTGCCTCCCAAGTGCTGGGATTAAAGGTGTGTGCCTCCATCCCTTTTTAAACTTTTATTCTGAAATGAAGTATCACTATGTAGCCCAGGCTGGACTTCCAACTTGTGATCCTTCTTTCTCTACCCTCTGGGTACCAGAACTACAGACCTGAGCCACGCTGCCTAGAAGACTCCTCCTCCTCGTCCTCTTCTTCTGTCTGCCTCCCTCCGTCCCTCCCACCCCTCTCCCTCACTCTTCCTCCCCTCTCTTCCTTAGCCTGACTTCCCCAGGATACGCTTATTTGCTATGAAATCACATTCAATATATAAACTTTGTCCTCACATGTTTCTAGAAGGAGTAAATACCAGCTAATAGTTTCTTAGAGTCAATAGTTGGATATTTTGACATTCTTATAAAATTTCTTTGTGTGTGTGTGTGTGTTGTATTGTGCCACCTCTATGGCAGTCAGAAGTCAGAGAACCTCTTGCAAGAGTCTGTTCTCTCCTTCAGCTGTGTGGGCTCAGGGAATGAAACTCAGGTCATCAGGCTTCATGGCAGGCTACCTGCTGAGCCATCTCAACAGCTTGTGTTTGCACACTGTTAGTTATTAGTAATATTTTATTAGTGGTTTTTCCATAGGCACATGAGTGGGTTCTTAGTTTTTGTATATTTTACTCTATTTTTTTGTTTTGCATTTCTCTCTCTCTCTCTCTCTCTCTCTTTTTCTTCTTTTTTTGTGTGTGTGTGTGTGTGTGTGTGTGTGTGTGTGTGTACATGCATGTGTAGGTCAGAGGATAGCTTATGGGAGTGTGATTTCTATTTCTGCCAAGTGGATCCTAGGGATGGAACTCAGGTTGTCAGGCTTAGCAGCTTTATCTGCTGAGCCTACTCACTGGCACGAATTCATAGTATTTTTAAAGGATGGGTAGAAGAAACACATTAATTTACATGTCTGAAGATAAATAGCCCAAGCGGTTCCCCTTTTAGAAAATTACTATTTTTTAAAAATGTTATTGTGTGTTGGGCGTTGGTGGCGCATGCCTTTAATCCCAGCACTCGGGAAGCAGAGGCAGGAGGCATTCTGTGAGGTCAAGGCCAGCCTGGCCCCCAGAGCGAGTTCCAGGATAGGCTCCAAAGCTACACAGAGAAACCCTGTCTCGAAAAACCAAAAAGAAAAAGAAAAAAACATTATTGTGTATGACTGTGTACCTTGCATGTTTCTACGTGTATCATGTTTGTGCAGTGCCCACAGAGGCCAGAAGGAGGCGTCAGGTCCCCCTGGAACCAGAGTTACAGATAGACGTGAGCAGCCATGTGCTTGCTGGGAATTGAACCCATGTCCTCTTCGAGAGCAGCCAATACTCTTAACCACTGAGCAGGCCTCCAGCCCATAAACGATTCTTTTAATAAAATGTTTATTACTCTTTGAATGGCTCATGGCAGGCAGAGATGAGCAAAGAAGTGCTGAAATGAGGATTTTTAGCAGCAAATGGTGCGCGTCCATGGCCTCACCTGGCTACCCGAGGTGCGTGGGATGCAAGCCTGTGGTGACGTGCACGACACCACTTTTCACAGAGCGATCTCAGCTCTATGACCTGGCTTTCGGAACACTGGTGTAAAGGTGTCTGTGGTAGCATAGATTAAATACTTTCTTTTAAAAGTGTGTCTGGAGTCTCTTCATTGCTGAGCCATCTCTCCAGCCCCCGGGCTCTGAGCTATTGTTAATATTACTTGGGTCTAGTGGTGATTTTTGAGAGTTGTGTGTGTGTGTGTGTGTGTGTGTGTGTGTGTGTGTGTGTAACTTTGAAAATGCCCACTTAAATGGCTCAAATTCTGTCAGGTTTTAAAAAACGGTTTCTTACGGAATTACACCTCCAGGACATCAGGCCTGTCCCCCCAGCATCAGCATCCTCAGCCTTCTTTTGGCGGTTTTGGGGGAG